CCGAACCTCCACCACCTTCCCCACCACCACCGTTCCCCACCACCACCTTCGCCCCCACCACCTTCGCCACCCCCACCACCCTTACGTCCTTTACCACTGCCTCCAGTACCGCCTCCGCCGCCGCCACCATCAGCTCCCTCACCACCCTTACCTCCACCGCCGCGCCTCTCCCCACCTCCATATTCCCCTCCGCCTCGACCTTCATTGCCGGCTCCGCGCCCGCCTCCGTCGCCCCTTCCATCGCCGCCGCCACCCGTCCCGCCACCCGCTTCCCCGGACTCGCCGTCGCCGCGTCCGCCGCGTCCGCCACGCCGCCGGCCAGACCTGCCGCCGCCACCGTCCCCTCGCCCAACTCGCCGGCCCCGCCTACCTCCTGGACAACCACCTTCCCCGGCGCCGTTGCTGCCCCTAATACCCGCAACGCCGCGTACCCCACGGTCGCCGCCGCCGCCGCCACCGCCGCGGCAACGCCCCGCACGGCCGCCGTCATTCGCAACCCCGCTGTCGCCGCCGCCGCCGCCGCCTCTGCCGCCGCCGCCGCGAGCAGAGCCCTTCATCCGTCCTAATCTGCCGTACATGCCGCCGCGGCCGGCCGGCAGCAGGAACCCCTTCCCCTTCGGCGCTTGCCGTTCGGATTGGCCGGCAATCGGCCGCGCCTTCCAGCTCAACTATGCAAATGCCAGCAGAGCGCCTGGCGGCGGCGACTGGTCGTACTGTTTCCGCGTGTCGTACTTTCAGTGCCGCCAGGCACTGTGCTGCGACATCCCGTTGGACGTTATCCAGTTCCTTATCAGTGGGTCTTTCTCGGGCGGGGAGTTGGGGGACGAGGGAAGGTCTGGGGCTTTCAAACCTGTACGGCACAGGGTTATTGAGGTTTTTGGGGCCGGGGCGGGCAGAGCCGTTGAATGCGGTCAACGAAAGTGTGTGGGAGGGTGTGGGTTTGGGAGCTGCTTGGTGCCGTACAGCCACACATGTTGATGATGTGATACACCACTTACAGATATAAGGCCCTCTCAATAAACTGTGCCCTGGTCGGGGCAGCATTCATCGTACCGTATACGGCAGTCCGGTGGTTCGATCGACTATAGGATGTTCGGCATTAGCAACCCGTGCTAATGCTGGCGGTGTACGATTCATGCCTCACGTGACGTCCTGCTGCACGCAGAGGACGAATGCTACGGTGCGGTATACGACTTGAAAATCAACGGCAACGCGCGCAGCCCGACGTATAAGGTGTACGACTACAACGGCTGGACGTACACCGTCATGAAGCTCTCCGCACTGGGCCTGTCGTACAGAGAAGCCCAGGTATGACCGTACGGCGACCCCTTGCCGATACACACACCGACACCCACCCACCCACCCACTTATCCGTCCCTCTTAACCCATGCCGCCATGCAGGGCGCCAGCGTGTGCTTCACCCTCAGCTCTCTGGTGTGCCCCTCCCTCAGCGCCCTCTGCGACTCGCCCCTATGTCAACTGGCTATGGGCAACCAGCCGAGTCCAGGGAGGGAGACCTGCTGCCCCACACAGCGTTACCTTGTGGTGGAACCCGGGCAGGAGCTGGTTTGACACGGTTATGTCTGTCTGTCTGTCTGTCTGTCTGACTGACTGTCTGTCTGACTGTAAGTGTTGCGTAAACCGCTGCTGCGTGCAAAAGCAAAACCAAACGTGCAGGGTAGGGAATCCTTCCTGGGGATGGGCGTGGGAATGGGACGACATGGTGGGGATTGCGACTTTTACCCTTAGTCGGTCGGTCGGTCGGTCGGTCGGTCGGCAGGAGCGGAGGGTAAAATGATGTGCGAGACGGCGAGACGGGTTTTCCCGCTTGGGATGTGGTTTCGGAGCCGCTACCCCGCGGTGGGACTGCTGCTAGGGGCCGCTGTGTATGAAAGCCGCTACCTCCTGTGGAGACACCTGCCCGGGGTTTTCAGCTGCCCTGAGGGGGGCAGGTGGGGCTGGGGATGTGGCTGACGGGGGGTAGGGAGAGGGAAGAGGAGGAACAGGTTCGGGGGGAAAAGACAAACCACGACAGGTTCGGGGGGGGACTGGGGTTGTGAAGCAGAAGGGTGGCCGGGTGGCGACGCGCACTCTGCTGGGGAGCTGTCCATGTTTGTGAGGGCGGCGAAGAAGTGCGGAGGAGGAGGAGTGGTTGGTTGGTTGGTTGGTTGGTGCGAATTGATGTGTGCAAGCTGCTGCAAGGGGATGATATTCGCCATTGCGGCTGCCGCATTGAAGCACAACTAGGAGCAGTTCATTGACAGCAGCCTCCTCAGCCTCGGTCTCCTCCCACGGCGGTGCGTTTCCTGTTCCTGGTGGTCTGCTAGGGTTCGATCCGGTGACTCGGCTACCTACCTGAGCCATACAGGTGCGCCTCTTCCCCTCAATTCAATGCGCTCAGAACTATACACCTTACGGGGTACACCTCCCTACGGGTTGGGGTCTTGTATCCGGTCCTCGGGGAGGGGGGCTATCCCGTGCCGAGGTCCCGTCGAAACGTGAAAGCGGAAGGCTGGGAAATGGGAAGCTTCCCCGAGCGCACTTCCGAGATCGGAATGTGGTGGTGGCGCTGTTCCCCTTTAGGAGAAGAACTTTAGTCCTCCTATGTGGTGGTGGTGGTGGTGGTGGTGGTGGTGATGTTGATGGTGGTAGCAGGATGATGTTGCGTTTGCAGTAGCAAACAAGGTTTTAAATGATGCGCCGCGGGTTTGGAGACTAAGGCCGTTGGGCGGCTACCGGCAGAGCCACTTTTTAAAACCGTCCCTTGGGACCCCCACCCTACCGACCGGTTGGGCCCTCTTACCGGTTGGTGGCCGGTCGAATGTATGCCCCAGGGAAGAAGAAAAAATAAAATTAAGTACGCAAAAGTAACTTCCTTGACCTGCAGGTGGGTTAGCCTGGGTAAGAGTCCTGCCAGCAAGCTTGTTATGACACGCGCAACAGTTTCTGGCCGTATGCCTTTGGGGTCGACGGCAAACGCTCCATGGTGATTTGTTATTCTGTTTAAAGAGGAAGCGATGTTTGCCGTACTACTTTGTCGGCTAGTAGAAAGTGGCAGTAAAATCAGGGCGCCTCGGAAGACGAACTCCTCCTGCAGATTACCATGGAACACAAACGGAGGCTGCACGCCAGGATGAGACGAGGCTGTTCTGCTGAAATGACAACGAAGCGAGGCCCAGTGGAAGCGGAGGAGCCCGCATTGACCCAGCTCCCTAAACAAAGCACGATTCGATTGTCGTGGTGCCATCTCTCGAAGTAGCAGGAAAGCCCACGCGCGTCAGGTGGTCGTTCAGGTTTTATAGGTATGGGGTCACGCACCCCCAACCATGTAACACACACACACAGATGGTCGTTCAGCGTGGATTGAGGACGACGAAGGCGATACCGTGCAGAAGTTTGTTGTTGGGTAACGACGACGCTTGGTGTGGAAACTCGGAGACATGTAACTGCCAGGATACATTGGTGCTTCACAGTAATAATTGATGGGAGGTCACCAATCTTGCGCCGGTGGAAAAAGCCCTTAGGCATGTTTTGTTATGTAGTTAGTTGACGACACGTGTGTGACCATGTCGTAATTTCGGAGCTAACACCAGATTGCTAGCATAGCACCAAAACTTTGCTGTACACCGTCGACACGCGGCAAATCAAGGCCAGCCAGCCCGCTACCGCGACCTCTTGAGGGGCTCATATAGCACGTACTGTTTTACAAATGTGGGGCCTAAGATATGACGGCGTTTATGATGCTCTTCTACGTCGGTGCTCCGCTAAAGATTGGTAGAATTTGGGGAACATTCGCCTTCACATCCATAGACGTCGAAACGCGTTGAACTCGATGCCCCCATCCCAAATGCCTATGCGCTCTGCCGTACAACATGTCCATTCAAGGAAACGGGCTAAAGACCGCATATACATCGCATAGGCTGCCGAACGGCCGAAGAGGGTACCAAGGGGAGCACCGAAACCCAGACGAGGACAGGACACCGAAGGACCTGGACCTGGTTCGCCGTCCTCGCCGCCTCCTGTCCAACACTTCAAAGGCGAGACCCTAAGCAACCCGACGGTCAGTGCAGGGGGGCAGAAGAACAAATGCCGCCGGGGGGGGGGAGAGTTAGGCAAGCAAATCCCCACAGCGCCCGCGAAGCATTGCAAAAACAATGCACTAAGCGCACGCGCTCTCCCTCCCCCTGCCAGCTCGACTGCCTCCCTGCCGCGTCTGCCTGCCCAGCACATCCGCCCGCTTCGTGTCAGCGCCCGATGCCTAGGGCTGCCCGATTCCCGCTAGATACGTAGGCGCCGCATAACGACCCTCCCTCCACAGGACGGTCTCCGTCGCCTTGGAAACCGAATGCAACAAACAACGGCCAGCGGTCAACAAACAACGGCCTCCAAGGTCCTGATAACTACTCCCTCCTCCTTTCGGTGGCATGCGGCAATGGAAGTCATTACATGTTGGCCTTCTTAACTTCTGTCCATCGATCCATCCATCCATCCATCCATCCATCCATCCATCCATCCATCCATCCATCCATCCATCCATCCATCCATCCGTCCGTCCGTCCGTCCGTCCGTCCGTCCGTCCGTCCGTCCGTCCGTCCGTCCGTCCGTCCGTCCGTCCGTCCGTCCGTCCGTCCGTCCGTCCGTCCGTCCGTCCGTCCGTCCGTCCGTCCGGTCCGGTCCATCCATCCGGTCCGGTCCGGTCCGGTCCATCCATCCATCCATCCATCCATCCATCCGTCTAGTGAGAAAGCAGCCTGCCAGGCATCTGGATTATGACGCGTGCAACTGCTACATCAGGCTGCCGCTACGGCCGCTACTGCCGACACTAATCAAGTGTTGGAGCTGCACGCGCGAGGACAGCCGCTGCAGCCGCAGCTCCCCTTGAATCCCACAGGGCGCGGCCTCACAGCCCACTTGTCCAGGCGGAATTGTCGTTCAGGTCGGCCGTACCTCGGATTCTGTCGAACTCAGAGATCAAATCAGCATCTGATACACCGCCGATAATAGGCATCTTGCGCTCCTGCGGGGGGTGTTTCTTAGGGTTTTAGATCTTCTGCTAACTGATAGCTTTCTACGCGAAGCGTCGAGAATACTATAAGGTTTCCTGTGAATTCGGAGTGCCGCTGTACGATTTGTACGGACTTGCGTGCGTGGTTGTGCTGGTTACTTCGGGTGTTGGGGTACACCCTGCTCTGCCCTGAAGCGGTTGGTGTGCAGGCCTAGTTGTCGCTTCGGGGGAGTGCACCCACACCCGGCCCTACCCTATCACGAAAACTGTTTTCATTTCTTGCCAGTTATTTTTCTTTTTGTAATGGAACATTCTCACGAAAACTGGGATAAGTATGGTTTTATTAAAGGGCGAGGGGCGCGGGCCACGCGCTGAAGGACGGGCAGGAACGAAAGCTGCGGGACGAGCGCCGCGTGATGGACGTTGGGGAGCTCTCGCACCTGCAGCTTACGGATCTGCACCGCAGACACACACACCCCGCAGACCGCACCTTGACAAACACGGACGGTTCGGGGGGCTGCACCACGTCGGGACGTCCAACACCGGGCTCGATGTTGGGCCAGGTGCCTGCGACCAGTGGGTTTCCGCCAGGGTTGGGTGGGCTGTGCGCGGGGCCGCGAGAGGAGGGGGCTCGTGCGTGAGATGGTAAGGGGAGGGGCAACGGGGTGTAGGTTTTGGAGCATCCTGGTGTTCGGATCTGTGCATTTGGACAGGAGAAGAGATTACCCTTGCTGTAGTTTGGTATCTGAGGTTGGTTTCATTTCCAGGGCCGCTCCGGGCTCCGGGCATGGATTTTGTGACCCGTGGGTCATTTCATTAGCTAAGCATGCCCCTCCTTCACAAAGCGTCTGCAGTGGATGTTTTCCGTTTGCGAGCCGCTCCGAAAGTTTCTTAAACTGTATGAATTGGATGGTAGGAAGTGTGATACGTTATTTTGATTGCTTCGTTACGCACCTAGCTTGGGTTGGGCTGTGTCCCAGGCGCTCGCGGTGCTGTGCTCGGAGGTCATGTATTGCATTTCGTGTTCGCGTCTCTCCTCAGGCCCGCTATTGCCGCTATTGCCACCAGCCGCCGCTGCCCGTAAGGCCGTTGACGTAGAAAGCTGCCGACACTGCTGGCGTTGATTGCCAGAGGAAGCCAGCGCACTACGTAGGCCGCGACGCAGTTGGCCGCCGCAGTCCCGGCGCAGCTGGCTGCCGATTACCGCGATCATTTCCTTTCGCAGGTTTTTCCCAGAAAACCAAGCCTTTGGCAGCAATTTGGAAGGGTCGGCTTAAAAGTTACAGCTGGGATGAAACGGTCAGCCAGGGTGCAGGCTTTGTGGCTTTGTCGTCCAACGACGATTTTCCGTTCGGAACGCTTTCATAATCGTGAATCTGTCTGTCATTACCCCTTATGTACTGAATATTTCTGGGTTTTGAACCCTCGCCCATGCCATGAATCCATGGAAACAAGCACATTGACTGGTTCACAAGGACGGAAAAGGGCACCGAAAGAAGACAGAACCCATAATTTGCTTTCCCCTAACTAGTTTCATTATGTGGTTCGCAGCACAATTACCGAGGCACAAGCATCAATATTATCCTACAGCAGCTGTGAGAAAGAGAAAGGCCGCCTTGTCCCACAACTTCTGAGCCTTGAACTGTCGGCTTGTTACGAAATGAAAACAGTCCATTAATTGAGCTCAGAAGACACTAATGAAAACATGGAATGACGTCGGAATGGTTGTTAAAAGGCTCACACCGCAAACACATACATACCCACACATACACTTCTGGACAGCATGGAAATGTATCAACAAACGCGTAAACGCACAGAGACATATCAGGCATTTCATATTCCATGCGCTTTCAATCGCCAATAGCGTCGTCCTGCACTGCCGCTTGGCTCAGGGATCCGGGACGAGCGGAGCGCGTCTGCGCTGCCGTCGCGTTAGCTAGCGCCTGCTGTAGTTCGATCTCCCGTATTCGGTTGTTGATGTAGCGCTGGCCGTAGCAGTTGACCGGTAGGCCCGAAGTGCGATACGTATACAGCTCATAGCACGTCTCAGACGGCATGATGGCGTTGTAGTACATGAACTTCCCTGCAGTACGAATACGACAACATGCAGGTAGGAAGGTCGGTAGTCGGCTCCGGGACGCTATTCGACCCCTAGGAAAAAATGCCCTTAGCCACCATGAAATCTCATCACGCATAACGTCTTTGGCTACGGCTGTAGCGCTCACCTGCGCATTGCTTGAGGTCGCAGCGTGTCGTCGTATCGTTGGCGCAAGGTGAGCGAGTGACCCGTGGGTCGCAGCGGTCCAGGGAACACGTGGCCGCTGCGTTTCCGGAGCACTGGCTGTTGATCTGCGGCACAGCACGGTTCATGGTCGCGCGGCAGGGTAAGAAACGGGGAGGTGAGGCCCGGGGACACACAGCCGACTGGCTGCAAGAAGAAAGAGGAGTCCGCGGTCCCCCGAAGCTTTGTAAGGAGAAACGAAAAACGCGCTGACGTGGAGCTGACGTGGAGCTGACGTGGAGCCGACGTGGAGCCGACGTGGAGCTGACAAGGGGATCGTCATTTCAGTGCGGAGCACGCGGTCCTGGACACCACAACGTCACCTACCTGGCACCCCACTACCACCAGCAGCCTGCACCACGCCACCGCACCAAGAACCGCACCCTTCCGTGCGCCGAGATTTATTCCCATCCCCCTCACGTGCGCCGAGGTTTAATACCGGTCCCTCTAATCGTTCACAGCTACCTTCATGATCCTACTGTAACCTGCCGTACCCAGCCATATACGGCCTTACACGGGTGACCATGTCGCTCGCTTCGGGAAAATCTGGGTAGAAGGTGCAGCCGGTGCCCCCAAGCGGCCTCCGAATACTGTGGTAGGCACGCTGGAACATGGCGTAGTAGTAACCGTCGCAGGGTCCCGGTTGGGCCTGAGGTGGGGGGGGGAAACCCGGGAAGGAGGTCGCGGGGGGTAACGCGGGGAAAAGTGACAAGCTGGCAGTCAGATGCTGGAATTGGGGGGGGGGAGGAAAGGAGGAAGGGCGGGAGGAGGCAGGGCGGATGGAGACTAAGGGACATGGCTATCTGAACGGGGTCGGGGGTCCGTTTTCTTCTGACGGGCAGAAAAATAAAACGCAGCCTGATGTGCGGCCTGAACGCGCAAAAAAACAAATTTCCACTTTTTCGCCAATCCAGCCCAGACCGCCTGGCCTAGATGCAGCCCAGCCACGCTGCTGCACAGCGGACCGCTGCCTCCCTCACGACGATCCTCACGACGTCCCTCACGTCCCTCACGACGACCCTCACCTGCAAGAAGAACATGTACCTCTGGCCGCCTGTCAGGGCGCAGGGCGCCGAGTCCGGCAGTACGGGTGCCTCCACCAGCAGTAAACAGTCCCCCAGATCGTCGGTGTTGTTGCGGCAGCGCACCAGGCCCTTGTGCACACACTGCAGCCCCACCAGGATGAAGCTGCTGTTGCTGTTACCGGCGGGCCCTCCGGGTGCGGATGGGTTGTCGGGCAGGGGTGTGAGGGTGCCGTTGGGGTAGCAGTTGCCGGCGCCTGCACCCGCTGCGAGGACTACACCTGCGGGGATGGGGATGGGGATGGGGATGGTGGTGGGGATGGGACGGGGATGGTAGCGTGTGGTGATGAGAGTTGGAGGGGTTGGTTGGATAGTAGGCGAGGGAGTAAGAGAGGTTGGGAAGGGATGCGGCAGAAAGGAAATGGGAGCGGGAGAGGGGAGGGGAGCGGGGGGAAGGGGAGGATTAGAGAGAACAACAAATATATGGGTCCGCTTTCCGTGATCAGACCACCACGATGCAGCAGCGACAGCATCATGGAAACATTCCATGTGCTTTTAGGGAGCGGGCAAGTGGCTGGAAGTGCCATCGGCCTCTCAACTCAGCACAAGTAGAACATATACACGTGGTCATCATCGCAGCTGACGGCCTTGCATTCGCCCACCAACTGCCCGGCAACCGCCCACCACTCACACTACTCACCAGTGACTATCAGCTCGGCCATGTTCGCCAGCCCCAGCTGGGAGGTGCTGATGGGGATGTCAGCGCACTCCTCGCGGAGCACCACCTGTGCTACCTGCCGCTGAGGGCGGGGTTGTACCTGCGGCTGCTGCTGCAGGGCATCTGTCCCGGCCGCCCTGACCGAGACTGCTTGCTGCTGTCCCTGCTGCTGCTGGGGCTGTAGCAGCTGTTGGGCATTCTGTTGTTGTTGTTGATACTGTTGCGGCAGCTGCCCCGGTTGGGCTTGTTGTTGGTCGATACCTGGCTGTGGCTGTAGCTGCTGGGGTTGTACTCCGAGCACATTGGATGCAGTCGCACCCAGCTGCGGGGCTGCAACTGCAGCTCCAACCCCACCCGCATCCGTACCTGCACCATCCATCACAACCGCATTGGCTGTGTCCTGAGCACTCGTGGGTATGGCCATCAGCCATGCTGCACATAGGAGCAGCAGCCACGGGAAGAGCAGAGGACGTGGGAGAGGGAGGTGCTGGCCGCCCTGTGAGCCGACGGCGGCGACTGCACCGCCGGGCGGCTGGTGGCGGCGGCTGCCGGCGGGCGGCAGTTGCCGGCGGGCGGCCGCGAGTGTTGCGGCTGACCCACTGGCCATAGCTAGGGCGGTTTATCGATGCAAGCGTAGGTTGTTCACTTGCTCGAATGGGGAGATCCCCAAGCTGGCGGCGCTGCGCTACTCTGTTTTTGCTGGGAGCGGGAACGCTGGGTGCGGTCTGGCGGCACCGGCGGCGGCGGCGTCTGGCGGCACAAGCTCTCGACTGAGCTGTGCAGGTCGGCGACCGGGTTTGTGGGTGGGTTTACCCTCGGTGTCCGGAATTCCGTGCAAGGCCCAACAGAGGTCTGCTAGGGTTCACTAGCCTAAAGCTGGTTTGTACAAATCCACTAATCAAGGACCAGGGAGGAGGATCACCGGGCCGTGCTCGCTAGGAGGGATGAACTTTTCAGTCAGGACGGGTACTCTGTACGCTAGTGCATTGTGAAGCAATTAGAGTTTCTGATACCTTTTCCGGGACGGAGGTTGATGAAGAGTGGATGTGAGGGAAAGCGCGGGAAGAAGCTCTTCGTCGTAGTCGCTTCCCAGGAAGACGGGAAGAAGCTTGGCGCGTCGGTTTCTTCCGAGAAACAGTGCGAGTTGCGTCCGGGGCGCAACGCGGCCGTGGACGTTGCGAGAAGCAGGGTTGCGGTTCAAACGGTGCACGGGGTTGAAATTTGATGTGCGAGTATTTGACAGATGACGCGTGTGTGATGTGACGTGGGAGCAGCCGACAGATTGCGGATCTCTCTGAACGCGTGTAGTCGGTGCAATGCGGAAGACAGGTCCCAATCATCTTACTGTGCCAGAAGTTCGCATCACTTTTCAGATTTCAGCTTGGATTGAGATGTAAAGTTGTTTTGGCCATAATGAGGCCTTGAGGGCTGTGGAATTTTGTTTTGGCTCTGATACGTGGCTCAGTCGCATGACAGCGCTGTCATGTCTGCAGATATAGCGGATGAGGACAGTTTGCTGCAAAGCCCTGCCTGCTGCCACTCTTGCCTGATTGCTTCCAAGCTGCCGTGCACAATCTGACCGATCGAACGCGGAGCTGATGCTGCAGCCAACTTCGGCAACCTTCAACCGGATCTTAAGTCGTGTTCGCATTTGAAGGAATTTCGCTGATTCCTTAGCTATTTGATGTTATGTCGCGTATTATGCAGTTTGGATCTAAGCTGACAGATTGGGTTTGCAGATGAAAAACCATCTTCAGGGCGTCATACTTCCGGCTCCCTGCAAGCAACTATCCATTGAAAGTTGAGCACCTTCCCGAAAACCCTGAAGCTGAGTATATGGTACTGTCGCCGGTATTCGGCCGATATTCGGGCGTCGAGGAGACGTCCTTGGCACTCAGCTACCTGCGTGACGCCTCCTGGGACGAGTGCTCCGAGCCTGAGTAGCCGTCTAGCTTGCGGCACAGAGCAGCTCACAAGTTTACAACAACACCTCCATCCGCAAATTTGAGAAAGGCATCGCCAAACGAATGTAGAAAGCGACAGCGCAAAACCGTTGCAATATTAAAATTGTAGCCAAGATGTTGCAATTTCAATTTTCCTGATGTTATGTTATGGCTTGTTGTACGCGGTACCGTTCACAGTTTATTATAGATGTCAGTCACGTCAGGCTCTTAAAGAGCGGGGCTGAGCGCAACTGGCGCGTATTACTAACGGTGGTTAAGTTTTGTAATCTTGGGTCGTACGTAATAATTTAGCCGTCAACCACTGACATACCATATGATAGCAAATATGTAATTGTGAGCGTAGTGCCGCGACGGCCCAGGACAAGGCACGCGCTAGGATGTCGATTTCCGTCAGAATACCGCTGGACGCGTAAAGCGGAGTAAGTTAGACCGCGAGTAAGAAGGAGACCCTAAACTCGTGCACTAAATCACAAATATATAAGAATATCAGGATAACGCAGCAAGATTTGTGGGGAGTTGCGAGGTACGCTAAGCAGATTTCGTTGCCCGTCGGTTGCACATGTTCCTTAGGCACATAAAGCCTTTTTACTTCATGACTAGGTAAAACAATAAGGATCCATGGTATATGAGGTCCACGACGTGCTAAGGAAAGCTTAGGTACGAAAGTTGTCGATGAACTACCTGATAATTAGAGGCCCTAGGCGCTACACCTTACAATCTATCATCGTGCATGTAATTAACCTACTGGCATTTTGCGTAATTTACTCACCTGTGGTGGGCAGATATCGAAGCCTATTTTAGTCAAGCATAAGGATAGCGGGTTGACAACCATTTCCTGATATTACACAATTGAACGACGCACTGCGATTTTAGTCCATTTACATAGAATGACACACCAAAAGCACACTTTGCTCGTGCCAAGCGAGTGGCTTCGGAGCTGGCCACACGCCAAGCACACGCCCCTTCAGCAAGCTTGCTTGCGGCACGTGGCTCTTGGACATAGAGCAGGAATGCATGTGCTGATGGCGACTTCGGCAACAATATCGTGCAGCGACGTCGTAAGCCCACGGCTGAATAAGGCCGTCGTCCGTCCCCCTCTAACATCGCCGTATTGGACAGCATACTTATGTTTAATTACAAAAATTAAACAATGATTGTAGCATACGGAGCTTGTGCAGCTTAACGGTGTTGTTGGCGGCTGCTTGCACGGGTTGCGAGCCTCCAGTTTGCTGCAACGTAGCTGTTAAATTTCGTTAAAAGAAGAACTCTCCTGAGAGAAAAGTCTATTGATATCCTTGTGGAAAAATGGCGTCCGTCGACACGTATTTTTCGGTCTTGTCTCTGTTCATCCTTTTCAGAGAGACCATTGAGGCGTCCATCATTTGCAGTATTCTGTTACAGTTCTTGAATCGCTCAAAGCCAGGATTGAAGAAAGCAGGTATGTAAGAGAGTGCTTAGTTCCCCGTCATGACCTAATTGCGACGACCAACTGCCAGCCGGCGCGGAAGCCCGATCGCATGATAGTTAGCCGTGCACCACCACCTCGGAATGCCTGACCTTCTCATGCCTGAATGCGCCGCTCAGTTAACTCTTCCGTTCTTCCTGCGCAGTTTGGTATGGGGTCGCCGCCGGCGTCGGTGTCAGCATAGTATTTGGCGTGATCTTCATCGCCATATATTACACGGCCCGAGATAACCTCTTTTCTGGGAAAAAACGTGCTATGTTTAAAGGTGTTATCTCGTGGATCGCCGCCTTTCTCATTACCATCTTGGGCTTTGCCATGCTCCGGTTCCTGGGCTGGGAGGCTAAGTGGAAACGGAAGCTGGAAGCAGCCATGGCAGCGAAGGTACGCGTCCAAAGCAAAGCTTCTAGGGACTCCCATGACCATTAGTATTTTGCACGCAGCAGTCGAGAGCGCGGGGAGGGGAAACGGGGATGACGGGAACGTCGGGACGGATGGGGGCCCGTTGCTGGTCAACGAGGCGCCGTACATTAATGACATCGTACTCTGCATGCGTGCTCCCCGGCATATGGGTATGCGATGGAAAGCCGAAAATAATTGGTAGCAGCTATTTTTGCTGCCGTGACTAGACGCGTCCGGCACGTCCGCAACACCTGTCGCATGACATGACATTTCTGTCGTTTGGGCTCATTCCTGATGTCTTCTGTTTGTGCCTAAAGAACCTGCACCTGTGTTTTTCCCTCAATCGCTCGCCAGGTGCCGGACGTTGTCGCCGAGCCCACGGATGGCGCTGCCGCTGCCACCAATGACACCAACTGCGTCACCTCTTCTGCCGCTGGTGCCGTACAGCTGCCCGTACGCAAATCCTCCTCGCCAGTGTTGTCGGCCTCACCCACGCTCGCCACGACCTCCTCCAGCTCCGCCTCCGCCACCACCTCCGATGTCAAACAAGTCGCTAAGGAGCCGGGCAACGCCGTCATCAGCGCCGATGACGTCGAGGCCGCGGTGCCGGGTGTCGTCGCTGTCTCTAAGCTGTCTTCCTCAGGCGTTTCGACACCGAACGCCCCAGGTGGAGATGAAGTGGCAGCAGCACCGCTTGATAACGTAGACCGCTCCCCGCCGACGCGCAAGGAAATCTTGAACATTTTTGTTTTGGTCTTCACGACCGTCGTTCGGGAGGGTATCGAGTCTGTTGTCTTCCTTGGCGGGTTGGCCAACGTCAAGGTGACGGCAATTCCGTTGCCTGCCTTCGTCGGGATTGCGTGCGGGTGCCTGGTAGGCATTTTTCTGTACTACTCAGGCCGCCAAGTCAAGGACATCAAGTGGCTCGTCATTATTATGGCCATCATCATTTTCTTCATCGCCGCCGGGCAGGTTAACTTGGGAACTGACGCGCTTATGAACGCCGACGCGTTCGGTTACTGCTCGCCCTGGCTTGACGAGCGGCCATGGTATATGGTGCCCATTTACAACTGGTCCAAGTGTTGCTCCGATATCGACCCAAAGGGCACCGAGCCCGTGGACCAACAAAACCGGCAGCGGTTCTTTGCTCTGGTGCGGGCGATCTTCGGTTACCAGGATAAGGGCACGCCGTTGGAGATCATCTCGTACTGCTGCTACTGGGGCCTTGTGCTGATCTTGATGGCATGGAAGGCTTGGAGAGGCACGCTGCTGGATGCGGATTACAAGTACAAGAGGCAGCAGCGGAAGTTGGCCAAGGAGGAGGCGGCGCGGGCGGCGGCGGAGGCTGAGAGTGCCGACGCGCTGGAGGGGGGTGCTGCCGCGGGCACAGGCGCGGTGCATGCTGGCGCAGGAGGCGAAGTGACAGCCGCACGCAGATGGTTACGATCGTGCAGTCAGTGCACCTGGACACCGGCTTGCTTTAGGCGGGACCAAAGGTGATAGAGCTCGAGGGGGGCGAGGGGTTTCTGGTAGGTGATTCACCATGGCGCTGAGGGGCAAGGACGGGACTCTTTGACCTTTGACAGGAGGGTGCAGGAGAGCAGGGGAGAAAGGGGAGATGTCGGGCTTTGGCCATTCGTAGTAATGCTGATCCTTCGGCGTTGGCCCTGCAGCGTCATTATTATTGTGCGTGTGCACGGCTGGATATGCTACGGAGGGTGCATGCGACGAGGAACAAATGGCTTAAGAGGGTCCCGAGTGAAGAGCTGGCTTGACGGTGGTGACGCGGGGCAATGGCAGGCAAATTGCAACGAGTGTGATTTATTTTTTCATCGTATTACAATGTACGCGCTATCTGTGTGGCAACGGTGTGGATAGGGTCTCTCCATGCTTCGGGTATCCTCGGTATCTGACTCATCATACAGAAAGTCTCCGCAAGCGTTCCCTACCCGGCAATGAACGATATGCATAAGTGCCAGAACGCACTCGGCATGTTGCAGGAATAGCTTGGTCAGCAAATGTATCATGGAAACGGAAGAGGGGACGCAAGGGGAGCACATGCAGAGATTTTACATAATTTGTGGCTGAAACGCACTTTGGCAATTTTGGTGAAAGCGCACCTCGCAAAGATTTGCGCGATGCGCTGTGATTATGTCGTCAGTCGATGTTTAAGTGGTGTTAGACGTGTATTCACGTGCTGGTCAGGTGATGATGTTATCCAGGCGACGTTAGCGAAAGAATGTGGTGGGCAATCCACTATCGCATTAGATGGAACCTGGGCGGAACAGGGCGGGACGAAGTGATGTGTTGTAGATAGTGATGGTACATCCTCTATTGAGGATGCCCATCGGCGTTAGAGGTTGAACTATGCAGGGCTCAAGTTCGTTGTCCTCTTGGATTTTGGCGAGCAGCTCGCTCTACCAGCAGGTTTGGCTAGGGCGCAGAACTTGTTCGCGTTGGTGAGGTCAGCCTGGACATGTCCGATATACCGTTTATTACCGACAACAAACACTCCAGACTGAATTCCTAAGACTGAATCCTAAACTGGAACGGCATGCCTCTTTGTAAGTGTCATGGATATGTCGATTTTATCGCCCACGATAAGGCCCAAGAAAAGCTGTATGCGATACGACAATTACGGCACAACGAAATATCTTGGAGTCCCTTGGAACAACCCTAACGGGGTCTTTCAGCATCCATACAGCAACGCAAAATTACTGGAAATATCTGCATTCTAGGATAAACCACAAAGTCAAGCACCAAAAGAGGTACGCTTTGACTGGCCAAGTCATCTCGATAGCGCGCAGCACATCTTGCCCAAGCAAATCCTCCGGACCGCGGCGATAGTTAAGGTAAAGGGATACAAGCACACCGTGTGGACTCGACCTTCCAGCATGTTTGCTGTGCAGACTGACCGAGCTCCCGCATCGCAGATGCAGTGCGTTGCGGAGGCTGCAGCGCACACCTCGCCATCCTCTGCGGCAGTTTCTGTGGAAGGTACGCCTTACTGCTCACTTCCCAGCAGCGGAAGTGGTGCAAATTCAAGCCTTTAAGTGGCTGGCCACGTCAGCATGTTCGGCCTGTCAAGAAAATAGAGCCTTATCGTCTGTCTACTGGAACTGCTAGCGCCGAAAGCCCAGGCTGCCAGGCGCTTCTTGCTCCTGAGCCGATGTGCCTAAACTGAGAATCTACCGGAATCTTTTGCGTGCATGCTTTTGTGCGGGCCTCCAAATGCCTGGTCAGCAAGTATGGCGGTCCCGCTGCTATGTTTTTCCTGCTGTATCAGGCTTTCAGATCAACGACCCGTGGGTCTCTGACGCCGCGCGGCAGCTGCCGACATTCTTAAGGGGTGATGGCGCGGAGAAATTTACATTGGAGGACGTCAGATCGAGCACAGCGGACGTAGGCGGCTTTGCCCAAGCAGGGGCAGGTGCGACACATGGCCGGAAGCTTAGGCTTCCGATATGATCTCGGTTTGCAGGTCGCGCCAGCTTTGCCGGCCACCCCGCTAGGGCAATTTTCATTGAAATCCGACCAATGGATGCAAGATTTATTCTGTAATTGTCCCTTTGGAATTATGCTGTTGGAGAGTCTCCAGGGCTTCTTTTTGGAAGTGACAGAATAATCGTTTACCAGCCGGAAGCACACAATTTTCGTTTCGCGACACCTCCGGGGCGTTAGCACAGGAAACCGAACATTAGAACACGTAAACGCGTCATGCAGTCTTGCATTTACCTCTTATGAACTTTTAATGCGAACAAGAGCAACACGAGCTGTGGTGTTCAGGAGTACACAAGGACATGAAGGAGGAGGAAAAGAAGTTTTATCTCACAGCTTTCTTTGTCGTGCAGTTCTTCACTAAGTGAGGTGCCTTTTTCGGCAGAAGGCAGCAATGGGAAGCCCGTTGCACCAATTAGGGCGAGGGTAGGCATCATGTGCTCATCTCGGCAAGGGAAGTCTTAGTGCTGGCCGTAGCAGTAGCAGTAGCAGTAGCAGTAGCAGTAGCAGTAGGTCTTAGCAGCACTATGCGGCAATGCCGATCTGGGTCGGCATGGATGGGTCTGAGGGGGTGTCCAAAGACGGAGTGAGGGGCTGTTCCCACTCATGTCCTGATCTATGGCACGGCAAGGCATAGTGCGCACGTACAAAAGCGGTACACACACAGACCGCTGAATTCTCTCGATACCGCCATGCACTTGCCTCGTAGGTGCAGATGATGCCAGATCTTCCGGACAGGTTCCGACAGAGCGGCCCGACGCTGACGGAGGCGGAATAACGGCGGCAGCAGCGCTGACGCCGCCGCCGCCGCCGCCGCCCCCGGTGATACAGCAGCCGGTCGAGACGGCGCTGGGTCCCGCGACGGAAGTGGACATGTTGTACGGCATGCACGATGCAGCGGCCGCGGCCGCGGCCGCCGCTGGTGCGCTAGTGCACGCGCTGGGTGAGAGCGTCCCGCGGGCCGCCAACATCGCCGAGGCGGCGCTGGACCCCCGCGGTGCGTGTGTTGGCACTGTCCATGGTCGAAACGTGTTTCCGAAGCGGGCATGCCGGGCGGCGGGCGCAGCCGTGTTATGCTGCTGGGTAGCGGAGCCGCGGGCCTACCTTGGCCGGGCTATCTGAAGGGGCCGCCGTTGGCTTGGGGACCTAGGACCGTCTAGGCTTCCGTCTAGGCTACCGTATGGTAACTTGCGATCCCTTAACTCCATATTTCTTATCGGCATTTGCGCTTTGTTCTTCCTATTTATTAGGACCAGTAGGACCTGTAGTATATGGCTTTATATAAGAAAATTGGAAGAAAGCTTACCGTTAATTATTAGTACATTGCTAATGTCTTAATGTATTGGTACACGTTAAGTAGTAAATGCAACAATGGAGTATCTCCTCCCGTGTTGTTGTAAACACATCAGCACAGCACGCACGCGACGACACAACCGTACGGCAGTGTGATTGTTCCTGCAATCGATCCTGATGTTTAATAATATCGTACACTCCGGCTTGTTGGGTCAGCCATGAGCTTTAAGGATTTGCGATTTGTCAACCAACCACCTTTCTCGACTTACAAAGGAACCGCGACGACAGGCACCGTCGATTTCGACTCGACTCGCTGCGGCATTGGCAGCGGTGGCGTTCACCCCGAGACTGTACGGCAGCGGCGGCACATCGGCTCCCCAGCCGCCGCTATGGCCGCTGGTACGGCTGCGGTCGCAACCCCCGGTGCCGGTGTTGCTGCTCCACCCCCCCTGGAGCTGTCTGAGGCTGCAGCAGGTTTGACGGCGCCCGCGGAGCTGCTACTGCCGCCACCCGCTTCGGCGGCGGATGTCGGGGCCGCTGCGGTGCCATCATCTGCCGCTGGGGGAGTCGGCGGCGGCGGCGGCGGCGGCGGCGATGGTGGCACGTGGGGTCCAATCATCGAGGACCTTCAGCGGCGCCGCAGCTACCCGCATCCAGGTCAGGAGGGTGCGGAGGGGGTGTCTGGTCGTCTGGTCGTCTGTTCGTTGGGATGTTGGGATGTTTTAGGGTATTTGCACACAGGTGAGGTTGAAAGGATGTGGAAAGATGTATCAGATCTGCGGTCCCCGATTTCCTTCCTTCGCCGCCACCTTCCCTCTTACCCTTTTTCCCGGCCCTTTCTCTCTACCCCCCCTCCTTCCAACGATAAAGTATCCGAGTCCGCCATGTCTCTGGCGGCTTCCTCCCTGGAGGTGGACCGCGCCTCGGACTTCGGAACACCCGCTCAGGCAGCAGCATTGGCTGGTGGCGGCGGCAGGGAGGTGGTGGCCAGGGTCGGGGGCGCCGGACCCACCATCGAACCCACCATCGAGCAGCAGCAGCAGCAGCAGCAGTACCAGTCTGTTGCCACGACCACAGGCACCACAAGCAATGGCACAGACACAGTCTCAGGTCCGCCCACACTGCCGGTGAAGGAGGAGTTGGTGATGGGCGGAGAGAAGGAGGCGCGCCGTCGCATGGTGACCCATGGGTCACCATGGGCTCAGCAGGCGGGGACGCGAGGTGCCGCGATGATGGCGGTGGCAGCGGATGCTGCTTGGCATTCACGTGAAGGTGGTGCAGGCAGTGGATCTGAGCCGGAGGGGGTTGAGCGCGGTGGCTGTGTGAGAGGTGGTGGTGGTGGTGGTGGTGGTGGTGGTGGTGGTCATCGTCATGATGGCGGCGAGGAGCTAGCTGCTCTGAGGGGTCAAGTACTGCCCAGGGCGCTGGTGGCAGCACAACATCAGGTGGGATGGGGGTTTCGGTGGTTACTACATCCTCCCCCCGGCCCTTTCCTCCCACCTCTTTCCTTTGCTTCTTGCTCCGCCGTATGATTTCGCCTTGGACTTGCAGTTCGTGTGGCGTAGTACAGTGTGGTAATGGGGGATGGTGACTGTATGGTGTGATAAATTGTAGATATGATCATTGAAATCTGATCAATGGGCCCAGAAGCTTCCCACTCTGTAAGAACAACAACAACAAAGCAACACAATATGGTTTTCCCTCAGGCTGAGGTTCACGCGGAGGCAGCTCGCGCCGCGGCGGTGGCCGGGGCGCTGGTGCACTGCGGGGAGGGGGTGGGGCGGGCGGCGGAGCTGGCCAGGGTGGTGGTACATCCCGGTAGGTGCGTGGGAGGGAGGGGGGGGGGGAGGGGGGGAGGGGTCCACGGTTGGGCTTTCGAGGGGCTCGCACGGGCAGGTAGGGCCATGCTAGTGCGTGTGGCACCGTTGCCCTAGCTCCCCTTCCAGCTTTTCCCCGTGGCCCCCCCCCTCGCCTACTGGTCAGTTCTGCTTCTTGTACACACTTTCCTTTGCAGCAGCTTCAGTCGTTCACGTGGGTTGTCTGTCCCCCCCCCCCTTGTCCACCCCCCACTGTCATGAAGGTCATATTCTCCAGTCTGTAGCCTGAAACAACGGGCAGTTGTGTAGTGGATTCGAATGTAGGCAATTGATCTGTAGCACTGCGCGCACAATCAACCCAGCTGTGCCAATCCTCCTCCTTCGTTACCCCTCTCGTGCCTCTCCCCCCCACACACAATACACACACACGCTCAACACACTCTCCGTGTTGTTCCACAGACGTTGCAGTGGACCGGGATTCTGCTCTGCGGGGTTTGGCTCCGGAGCGCAGCGGAGCGCCGCTCCTGGAGCCGGATGACGGAGCCCCCTCCCTGGAGGTCCTGGCGGGGGAGCAGGCGGAGGAGGTGGCGGCGGAGGCGGGGGCCGAGGCGGCGGCGCAACTCCTGGCGGCAGAGGGCGGTGAGTCTGTGGGAGGACAGGCAGTGTGGGCTCTGTACGGGTGAGGGCCTTGCTGACCTGGTGGGGGTGGGGGTGGGGTGGGGTGGGGGGAGGGCTGAAGGGGGTGGGGGTAGGGTTGAAGGGGGTGGGGGTAGGGTTGACAACGTACCCGGGGGAGGGGGGAAAGGCGGGAGGGGGACGGGTGGATGAGAGGTAACCTTCAGGGGTATGGTTTGTGTGGAAAGTCGCCCGCGAGCTTTGCGAGGGCGACGAACGGGTGTGTGGTGAAGAGGTCGTCTGTCGGTTCCCATGATCTAAACTGCTGCTCCCCCTGACCCCGCCGTACCGGTAGCC